TGCCTTTTTTTTTTTTCAAAACGATAGAATGCTTCTCATATCACAAATAAGATTGTACAACAGAGCGAATCCAAGATCCGAAATTACAATAGAAATTCCCAGAGGTACATTCAAAGATGCTCTTAATCCCACAAAACCCCTAAAACACCATAACAGGACTAAACCCACTCTTACTACAACACCCAAGACACCTACTATCGCACTAAACACCATAACCCTAGCCAACAGAAAACTAGAGTAAATAGAAAAGATAAACCCTCCTACAAGAACAATCAAACAGACCAAAGGCAGCAATAAATGGTTGATTCCTCCAGCTGAACAGAACTGCCCCTATCACAACACACAACCAGCAACCTGAACAAACTAAAAATCCAGTACAATAAGACATATCACCACTGAACCTGAATCAGGACCTAGTAACAGTCCATCTTGACCATGAATCACTGCATAGACTGACATGCAAAAAACTCCATCCAATTCTTCACTGCAGCTTGAACTACATCCTTTTCAGGCATCATATACTTCTAGAACTTCCAAAGGTTTCTAGATTTCCACAGCCACCACAAAATATATGTGGTAAGCTGTATTCTATCCTGGGACACCTTAGATTGATCCAAAGAGCAAATAGCCCACCACCACTTCCTGAAACATATTGTATCTCCCCTAAGTCCATCCCAATCAACCGGGGATATTTTCCATACATATTGAGCTCTTCTACATTCAAAAAAATTATGTTTCAGTAGACTCCATACCCTCACCACAACTACTGCAAATTGGGTCAATCTCCATAGCTCTGGCCTTGAGTTGCATGCAAACAGGTAGAGGTTTGCTATAACACTTCAACATAAAGTGTTTTAGCTTGTTCTTGACCTTCAATGCCCAACATCTCTTCCTAACTCTTTTGGCTTGCCCAGCAGATTGACTACTTTCAGGTATCGCCAGATTTAACACCTTTTGCTGAATAATGTAAGCATATGTCCCTGCCACAGTGAAGATACCTTTTGAATCAGGGGCCCAAACCCATTTGTCCTGCAGCAAAGATCCAAAGTCTTAATTCCCAGGATGGCCTCTCTCTCTTGATTAGTGAAGAGTCTTCCCATCAGCTCATAATCTCATCTCCTACCACCAATTTCCATAAGGTCCTTTACCCACACAAGGTTGTTGTTCTGCCTAGCTCTGCTTGAAGAAAACCCCAACTCCAGCCCAGGAACCCAAGGATCCTCCCAGATTTTACAAGACACCTCATTTCTAACTTCAATCTTGAATCAATTCTTGTACTTATCCCTGACTGCTAACCAATTTGAGCACAACCAAGATGCAGTTGCAGTTTTTTTAACTTTCAAAATATCAAAATTAGCAAAGTACCTTGCCTTCAAAATTTGATTCACAAGCAGATTTGGGTTATTGAGGATTCTCCATATCTTCTTCAGAATTAGAGAGTCATTGAACAGAGAGAGGTCCTTAAAACCAAGCCCACCAGCAACCTTTGGAATAGAGACTAGGTTCCATGCCTTCCAATGTACTCCTTTAGCCTGCTCCTTCCCCTTACTCCATGAGGATGCAACATAGAGACTCACAATACTCCAGCAAACACCTTTAGGCAAAACAAAACAAGACATAGAGAAAGTGGGCAGTGCCTCAAGCACTACTTTCATTAGTACTTCTTTCCCAGCCATAGATAGGAAATTGTTCTTCCAATTCACCAAACTGGATTCCACAACCTTGCTAACAAAATCAAACACATCTTTTTTAGCCCTGCCAATCCCAAGAGGAAGGCCTAGGTACATTGTGGAATTCTAAATTCGGATCCCCTACAAAATCTGACACACATTGTTTTTAGCATTTCAGAGGAGTTCCTACTGAAAAATATGGAAGACTTGCTCAGATTCTCTTTTTGGCCAGTGTACTGGTTGTATTTCTCCAGAATAGAAATAAACAAAGAAGCATGATGACAATCAGCAGTGCAACACACAAAGGCATCATCAGCAAATTATAAGTGAGTCATGGAGGGACCTGATCTGGAAATCTTCAGCCTAATAAATTTGCCCATATCTAACTCAAACTTCAACAGCTTAGAAAACACCTCAGAAACGGGGATCCCCCTGTCTAATGCCTCTGGTTGCAGGAACAAAGCCCTTCACACAGCCATTAATATTGAAAGAGTAAACTGCAGAAGATACACAGACTAGAATCCATTTGACAAATATTAGACTGGATCCCATACAAGTCATAATACCTTGAATGTTTTTCCACTCCACTCTGTTATAAGCTTTCTCCATATCCAGCTTGATTGCCATAAGCCCTTTAGCACCATAGTTGTGTATGTTGAGGTAATGTATTGCCTCTTGTGCTATGATTACATTGTCCATCAGTTGCCTTCCAGGAATGAAGGCTGTCTGATTGACACTGATACAGGAGTCTACGCAATGTTTAAGTCTACCAGTTAGAAGCTTGGATATAATTTTATAAGAAAAATTGCACAAGCTGATGGGTCTGAATTGAGTAAGAGAAGAAGGATTAGCACATTTTGGAATGATAGTAATAATTAAGCGTGTGATTCCAATTTTTTAACATCCCAGACTCAAAAAAGCTGATAACAGCCTTACAAACATCAAATCTTACCACTTCCCAGAAAGGTTTGAAAGAAAACCGGAGACATCCCATCTTGTCCCGGGGCTTTTCCTGGATTAAGGGAAAATAGAGCTTATCGAATATCATCCTCAGAAAAAGGGCCAACTAGTGCACTGTTCATATCTGCAGAAATAGTGGAAATAATCAAAAAAATATTGCCTTATAAAGTAATACTGTAAAAAATGTTTGCTTTTGTATTTTCTATAATTTACGAAGAAAAGAAAAAGGTATGCATCAACATGGATGAATATAAACAAATTTCAAAAAACTCATGTCTCCACTCATATAACGTATACGGAAAAGTGAATGTTATTAAGAGATTAAAATATGTAAGTACATTTTATATTAAAAAATAATAAAATTATTAGTTATCATCCATAAAAATAAATGTACGGTTATAAATATTAAATCCCCCCTATATATAATTATCAAATGTGCTGAGCCTAAGTGGCAGATTTGTGTGCGTCGTAAGCTTATTTGTCATAATTATGTGCTTCGTATTGACAAATGTATATGTTTGGTTTTGACTCTTAGGTTTGGGAATTACCATATACTATTTTAGGTTTCATTTTTCTTAAGTTACCATATATTATTCTTACCTTTTTGTTATTTAATTCATATATTAATTATCATGAATTAGTATTCCTTTATATATATAAAACATTATAGCCTTTTTATTTGTATTTTATTTTTTATTTATAATATATTAAAATAATCATATTTTAACGATCTTCGATTTGATATCCATATTGCATATATAAAATGTAAATAGCTTCATATAATTATAAAAAGAATAATTTTGTTATCAAATAAATTTATAAAATATAAAAAAATATAAATTATTTTATCAAAAAAATAAAAATATAATTCATCAATACACCATAAAATAACTAATTTAATTTATTTTTTCCATAGATTTTGGATATAATATATAAATTAAGTATTACATAAAATAAATTATAATAAATTTTATAAAATATTTTTTTTGCAATTTAAATATAAATAAATGTTATTATGTTATTTAAAATATAAGATATAAAGAGATATCATAATTAAATATAATTAAAATAAATTGTGTTTCATTAATTTATAAAATAATATATTTATGCCTAAATTAATTATCTAAATTATTAAATTATATAAAATTAAAAAAACTTAAAAATAATAAACGAGAGACGTGACTCTATAAATATAAAATATATTCACAATACAATAAAATTGTTATTAAAAAAGAAAAATAAAACCTAATCATGTAATATCTGTTTTAGACACATATAATATAAAAAAATAATTAGAAAATATAATTTTTTGATAAATTTAATGAAAAAATACGGACACCAATTTGAATTAGTTATCACTTTGTTAATTGTTGTGTATTCATTATACATAATTTTGAAATAAATAAATAAGTATTTTTTATTTTTTATTATACAAATATTAATATATTTTAAATACCCGTGTAGTACACATATATCGTATTAGTTTATTAATTTACCTTAAACAACCATTTAAGTACATTATCTGGAAAAAGAAATTGAGTATCAACAAAAAATAATATGAAAAACATTCAAAAAACTATGTCTCAACCTAAATAAAGTATGTATAAAATTTAAATGTTATTAACCCCGCTTAGCTGCCATCCCGGGTGGGAAAGGGGTTGTAAATAAAAATATGAATGAATATCATAATTAAAATTAAAAAAAAAAAATATTTCACAATTTTAGAAAATCTTACATTTGTATATATTAATTCATATTTTAAATCATCAAATATTATAAATTTAAAATACTTAAAAATTAATATATAATAAACCACTACAATACACTTAGGCATTTAAGAAAACTACAAAAATCGAAATCAAATTTATGGTATTGTAGATATCATTTGCTTTCTACATATATAATTTGATAAATATAATTAATTAACAACTATTACTTTTAACAAATTAAGTGTAGAACACAGTTTCATGTTAGATAATATTATTTTTAAGTTCTTTAGTTTTTATAATTTATCAATAAGAATATAATTATTTTGTTATTTTTTCTTATGAAGTATCACTTTTTTTCAAATATCAGTATAATACACTGGTGTCGTACTAGTACTATATTAGTTATTCATTATTTATTGTACATTTTTTTTATGATTTTACTATAACAATATAATTAATTTTTTGCATTAACTTTTTATTATAAATATTTTTTCAAACAACCATATAATATAGAAGTGTTGTAAGTTTATATTTATTAAAAAAGTATGGTTTGCTTTGTGGTTTGTATGCCAACAGCATTCGTGCGTTGACAGTTGAGTCGCAATTTAGAAAATATAAATAATTAAATAAAAAAAGTTGTGAATTAACTATGGTAAAGTATAAATCACATAATATTCCTCACAAATAAAAAACAAATTAAAGAACACTGATGGAGTGATGGGCCTCTCCTCACTCATCAGCTTCAAAGCTTCCATTCTCGCCTGTTCTCCACAACCTTGAGTTTCTCCACATACACAAAGAAAAAAGCTAAAATAAAATAATTAAAAATATCTAATTCATTTTCATCACACTTTACATGGATGGAATGTACGGACTCCACTCGGCCGGCAACGATTACCCCGATAAGGCGCTAATGTCCCCCGACAACCTCATGAACATCGCCGGCGGCGGCGGCTACTACCACGACTACGATCCTCTGATTCCCTCCGCCGATCACCACCGCCGCATCAATCCGCCGTTCGAATCGGAGGACTATGGGCTAATCCATTGCTCCGCCGTATCGGAATCCGTAAATTCCGTTAGCGCTCACCGCACGATCGGCTACGGCGACGGAGGAGCCGATCGAAACCGCCGTGAGGACGACGTGGCCAGCTATGCTACCGTTAAAGCCAAAATTGCTGCTCATCCGTGTTACCCAAAGCTTCTCGATGCCTACATCGATTGCCAAAAGGTTTTTTTGTTTTATTGTTTTAGGTTAATTATCACCTAAATCAGTTTTAAACGAATGATTTTGGGAATTTTGGTCTTTTGTGGGCTGATTTTTAGGGAATAAGTGTTTTCCTGCGAGGATTTGTTGATTTCTTCTGTTTTTCTTTTGCCGTTATTTTTTTCCGGAAATTATTGTTAGGCACACGTGATGTGCGTGTTGCGTGTGGTTTTCAGGTCGGAGCCCCGCCGGAGATAGCGTGTTTGCTGGACGAAATCCGGCGAGAGAAAGACGCACAGTACTGCAAACAGGACGACGCCGTTCCGACGTGCTTAGGAGTCGATCCCGAGCTCGACGAGTTTATGGTCTCTCTCTCACACAAACACGCACTCGCACGCACTTTTCAATTATTTTTCATTGTCGTTTCACAGCTATTATTAACAGCTGAATTCACGTTTTTTCTCACCGATTAAGCTAGTGTTAAAATATTTTCTTTATTATTTTTATTTAGTAAATAGTATTTATTTCTTTTATTTTATTTATCTATTATTTTTTATTTTTTGGATTTTGGGTTAAAAGGAAAGCTACTGTGACGTATTGGTGAAATACAAGAGCGATTTGTCGAGGCCCTTTGACGAAGCTACATCTTTCCTCAACAACATTGAAACCCAACTCGCCAATCTTTGCAAAGGTAAACTCACCTGCGTGTTTGTGTGTGTGTTTGATTTTTTTTTTTGTCTAAAGGTTTTCATTTCATGCATGTGTGTGTGATGAAAATGGTGGCTTTGTTTAATTAGTTGCTTAATTTGATATTCAGCCAAGCAAATTAATCACACTAACACTGAATTAGAAACCCTAGAGAGAGCTGCTGTTGTGTAAATATATCAATAAATTTTTATGATTCGTTTTTTCATAATTGCACGAAATTCCATTAAATTGTCATTCTTTTCGCGTTTAGTTCATTGGAGGACTGGTAAATTATATATATCGAGTCACTAATTCAACTGAATGANAATATTATGTTGCTGATAAAGTTTTATTTTTCTAAATTAAAATGAGTGTTTTTTATGCCTATTTCCTGTATGTATAGTGATGAAGTGCAAAACCTTAAAATCCAAAAAGTCAAGCGGTGGTGTGTTCTGTAAACGAAAACTCGCTACAGTGTATGGAACTTTTGGCTTTGTATTTTTTCAGTAAGAATGCAGTTTTTGTTATGGTTTTTTTACTGTAGTCAGTCTTTTTGTGGGGTTTTTGTTCATTTTATATGTTTATTTTTTATGAAATTTTTTCATCTTCGACATTGATCTTTGGTTTTATTTATGTGTCAGATGAAATTAAATGTTGAAAAATTCATAATTCGTATATAGCTAAAAGATTCTGATTTTGACGTATCATTCTCTCAGATGACAATACCTGTAACCCTGCCTTTTTTCCCCGCACAGTAGCATTTTGCTACTCTCTTGATATTGATATATTATTTTTACGTATATCATTAATATTAACTATAGCAGCTAATATTGATTAGTAACATAATTGTACATGATATTCAAAATTGGGTAAAATTTAGGGTATCCATTGGGTTTTCTACTTGCTAAACTCAATTGTACATTTCTTAATGAAATAAATCCAACCTGTATAACGTTTGTTGTGAAGTTACATTAATTAATATTTTTGGTGAGTTGGTCTAGATTGTTGGAGGGGTCTTATCCGTCTACATTTTCAACAAAAAAAATATATGTTTATACTATGAATATCATTTTTTTTAATATTTTGTGTTTATAGAGTGCTATATCAATTTGATTGTATATATATCTGCTGAATTTATTAGTCCTGTCTTTGTTGAAGTATAACTGGTTAATTGAATTAGTATTCGGTTTTTGCCATTAGTATTTTGCACAGTAATTATTATATATTGTTATTGTTATTATGTTCCGTCTAAGACTACAGTATATATGATGAGAAAAAATTCAACAAGCAGCAAATAGAGTTGGAAATTATATTGTACCTTATTGTTTCTATATAAAGAAATAATGGTCTTCATGGAAATAGCATTATATGTTTTTCTACAAAATATGAATCATCATGCATTTATGTTTTTTCATGGGTCAAGTTTTACACATATATTGTCTTACTTGTCACATTATTGTTTCACAGTTTACACATTATTGCACTATCCAATCTTGTCTGGAAACATTTTTTTTTTTAAATTAATAATTTAAATTATTTGTAGCTCTATCTCTAGTGGTTTTTGTAAGGTTTTGAATAACATGCCATCAATAATATTTAAAATTTATTTATATTGTTAAACAAAGCATGGAATACAGTATGTGAAAACTTTAATTTTATTGAAGAATTTGCACAATTTTCAAATTTTGTGGGCTATTTTTCTAGGGGCAAAAAAATCCATTGTTCATTTTCCTAAATCTTTTTCTGAATAGTTCATCGGTTTTGAAGTAAATGTTACAAAAAAATTTATTCACTAAAGTTGATGTAGTACAAAAGAGCTTCAAGTTCCAACATATCATGTGTTTGGCTCAGTGTGCATGAAAGATTGAGAAATTAACATTGGAAAGCGTTTATTTGTAATTGGTTGGCAATTAAAGCTCACTCTTTCTTTTATTTTATTATAAAATAATTTGCATAAGTTGTACTGGTATTTAACTGTCATTTAAGGCTTAATGGTGGTATAATTTCTGCCAACCGACTTTAATTTGGTTATTTTGCATGTCGTGCGGAAAGGTACAGCGGTCAAAAGTCATAATTTTGTAATGTAATGCATACTTATATTATGATATTTAATTTTTTTTGTTTATTTTATTTTTTGGTGTATTACATTTTAGTATTAAAGTATGGGTATATGTGTAAAGTATACCTGCCTAGTCGTTAGGGCTGAGTAACAGCAGACTTACTGTTAATCTAGTTGTACCAATGGCGGATTTAAATAGGGGCATGTAGGGGCACATGCCCCTGTGCAATTTTTTAAAATATTATGTATATATATACACATAATTACACTTTTGGATATTTATTTTATGTACCATAATTTTATTATAATAAGATAAGAACATAATATAAAAGTTGTAAATATCATAATTTTAAATATATGATAATTGAAGATCAATCATTCCGACTAAATACGTTAACATGTTTATATTTAATACAAATTCTTATGTGAGGCAGTTTAACAGTTACGTGGATTGATTTTCCATACTTTTCAAATAAAAATGCATATTTATGACATTTTCTAATAAAAATATGTATATTTGTTAAATAGTAGGTCGACACAGCGTAGTGTCTAACACAAGACCATCCCTGTATTTAAATATTTAAAGTTTTCGTAACTCCACCTTCTATCCCATTATTAAAAAAAATAAAATTAAAAGATAAAAACTTAATATTATTATTTAAATAAAAAAATTAAATTGTTCCCCTCATTGTGAGGCCTGCGTCCGCCCCTGAGTTGTACACTAGGTTGACAATGTAGCATTTTTCTAATAAAATATATTTGGTTTGCATTATCCAATTTGTCATCATTTTAACTAGTCTGAGTCTCTGACGATGAGTACAATTAGGATCTGTTCAAAATATTCTATAATTGCATGCATTAGCCTTTAATTTGGTTCAGTTCATAACATATTTTTGAAAAGCTGCCTTAATTAGCCATGACTATATGCTTGTGACAGCCTTAGAAGTTCAGATTCACATCTGAAGAATTAAAAAAATATGAAATGTAAGAGAAAAAAGTGGGTTTTGATAAGGAGCAAAACACTATAGTTTACCTAAGAACAACTAATTATATATTTGATTGAAAGTACAATTTCTCAGCTTTTTGAGATGTGTGCATGCATTTCCATGTGTAGCTGAGGGATTTGTTTTGCTTAAATTAAATGTTTTTCAAGATGGGTTACACAAATTGCTATGACCTTTTTTGCATCTTTAAGATAATAGACTCATATTCAAGTGTCCACTTCGAAAGTTGCATCAGCACATTTTCACGTGCGGGTCTTAGAAAGTTAGTTTAGTTCAATTGCGTTGAGATACTCTCTCCATTAAAAGCATTAGATTTTTCAGGTAAGTTTCATTTTACTAACATTTGATTTTAACTTTACTAGGATCTATTGGTTATGTTATTGAATGGAATCTCATTAATTTTCTGCATATACGTGTTATTTCTCATATAATGTGTGCCAATCCTTATCATGAACAATTTTTTTACCTTAATTGTTGAAAGTATTTCTTAAATTAAGTGAACACCCGACTTGTTCTATAAATAAGCCTGTCGGCTCTGCTTGTTAGGCTCGAGAAATAGAGATTTAAAAAAAATTATGAATTATTACTTTAATTTAGCCTGTTAAGCTTGCTCGACTAACAAACATTAGCTAGTTGGAATTGCCCTCTCAAACACTAGTTATATCCGCGTAGGCATATTCGATAGTAGCTGGAGTTTGGTTATGAAAAAGAGGATAGATGAATAGTTACTTGTACTCGGAGTATTTTTGGTAGTTTAAGCCAATAATACAAATCCATAATTGAAAAACTAGTAGCCGAAGTTTGGTTATGAAAAAGGGGATAGATGAATAGTTACTTGTACTCGGAGTATTTTTGGTCATTTAAGCCAAATATACAAATTCGTAATTGATAAACTAGTTAATAACTGATCAAATAATTGATCATTTTATTGCTTATGTCCGAAAAAACTACTAATATAGTACTACTTATTAATTTACTAGGGTTTATAATATTTAGAGAAATTGAAAACATACTAGCCTCAAGATGGACAAACTCAAAGCTTATTTAGACAAAACAGAGTCAAAGTTTTCAATAATAGATGTATTGGGTGATAAAAGAGTGGTTTGTGGAGAGGGTTCAATGAAGTGTCTTGAATCTTGATTTACACATAACTGGGGGATAATAAGAGCAAAAATAAAGAACACGAAAAAGATTGGTGGGTCCATTGGGCAAAATGTCTTTATTAAGAGGGGAACGAAAGCCCGAATAGACCTGGTGATCTAAATTCACATGGGGCGCCCGGGGTTTGCGCTGAAACCCGGCCCACCTATCTCATTGGCCCACACATGCGCACACACAGTCATACACAGTTGAGCACACACAGTCTCTCCTATCTTTCTCTCTCTCTCTCTACTGCTCTGCTGTCTGCAACTCTTCACTTGGCTATAAATGGTTGTGGTTGTCAATTAGGGGGCTGTGGTTTTATTTATTTATTTATTTTTATTCACGATTTTTTTTTTTAAGTTATTGGACATTGTGCCAGGTGATATGCACCGTGATGTGGGGTCCCCCAAAATAAACATCAATCCTTCCCAATTTGTATTGGTGATATTTGTCCTTTAAAATAGCCAAATATATAGGTGTATAGTTGAAAAAAATTACTAGGGTCTATCATCTATGCTGCTAATTAAATTGTTGTTTCAATTATTGATTGACCTTTAGGCTGAAATTGGTTATAAGATTTAAAAAAAGAAAAATATATTGTCTAGAAATGAGATGAGAAAATGGATAGAGTTGTTTTTTTAAAAAAAAAAAATTAATATAATGAACATGAAAAAAAAATGATTAAAGCTGTTTTAATAAAATAAAAATAAAAATTTGGGATGATTAGTGATTGGTAATTATAAATACACGAGTGAGCTGCGAGCTGCGTAGCTATTCTGGTTGGGAAATGTATAACAATAATAATTTTTATTTTAAATTGTTTTAATGAGATTGTAAAGAAAATGTAAAATAAATTGATTTGTATTTATTTATTTATTTAATTTTTCGTTTTGTATCTAGTTTTTTGTAAGATATATTTTTACTAACTGAACATTAAGATACATTTTTACTAACTGAACATTAAGTATAAAATATTTTATCCAATGGCAACCATAAAATCTAGTATTTACCGTTTTGAACTGCACACTCATCATATTGATCACAAGTAGTTGTCGTTATCTTTTTTATATTTTTTGGTTTATAGGTAGGAGAGAGAGAGAGAGAGAGCGCTTAATTGTTGTTCTGTTTGCATGCAAATGTCTCGTTAAGGACCTCTGGGTTTGTAGTTGTTCAGGTTTATTGCTGTAGGGAAAGGCTTTGGGGACCATGAATAATGGGCCGGGCCTCAGGAGGCCCATGCCTGGCGTTTATACGATGGCACTTCTGATCCGCCTCACTATTGCTGTATTGACTAGGAATTTTCAAATTAACCCTACACGAATTGAATTCTGATGTATTTCAAGTTCCAACACATATTTCATTTTCTTTCCAAGTTTAATTTGCATGTCTCATTTATTGTATTCTTGCCTTTTCATTATTATACTTATAATTTTCGGCTCGACTTTTTTGTAGATGACGGTCCTTTGTCGTCCGATGAGGAGTACAGCGGAGGAGAGACCGAAATCCCGGACCCTCAGACGAAAACCGAAGACCGAGAGCTCAAGGATCGGCTATTACGAAGGTACGGCAACCACATTAACAACCTAAAGCTCGAATTCTCAAAAAAGAAGAAGAAAGGTAAGCTCCCGAAGGAGGCTCGACAAGCGTTGCTCGAATGGTGGAGTGTTCACTACAAATGGCCTTACCCAACGGTTGGTAATTAATCCCGACTCTCGATCATTGCGAAATGACACAATTGTCCTTACCATCAAAAACTGAAAACTGTTGCTAATAATCCAGTTTCTGGTATTAAGAGTAATTGTGTCGTTTCACAGGGCAAAATAATTATTATTATCGTTTCTACAAAAAGTGGCTATATTTCATCATTAGGCATTTGATTTTTTGCACAATAATTTAGTTCATTTTGCGGTGAAATTTATTTAGGAAGCGGATAAGATGTCTTTAGCGGAAACGACAGGGCTCGACCAGAAGCAAATAAACAATTGGTTCATAAACCAGAGGAAAAGGCATTGGAAGCCTTCTGAGAACATGCACTTGGCCATGATGGATAATCTGTCTGGGCATTTCTTCATGGAAGAGACTGATATTTAGTTGTTTGTGGCTTTTGTGTACTTTAATCTGCAGACGTGTTTTTGATGAAATTTAGATTCTTGTATATTCATTCCCAGAAGAAACTAATGTTGTATGCTAGTGACTTTTAGAAAATATTATCTATCAAATAATATTTTGAAAAAAAAAAAAATGGTCACTTTTCTTGTGAATCAGTAGGCTTATAAGTTAAGCTTCTGTTTTCTATATAAAGTTTTTCTATATAAACGATGTGGAACAATTCACTAGTGGTATTATATTTCAATAGAATCTATATTTTTATGGATGGTAGTATGCACTATGCAGTTCGTGTTGTACGTGATGCATGATGTGTGTTAGTGGCATGAGCCATGAAGTGCCTTTTACTCTTTGTTCGCCTAGTTGGGCTGGGCTTCTTTTCAAACCCATCAACGTGCTTAGCCCAATTTAGATTCGTCACTTTTAAGGGCTTAATAATTTATTTGATCGGTTGGTTAGTCCAACACTGAATAGGCCTACAGAAATAAAGATGGAAGAACCGAAGAAGTCTCTATGCTTTGTATATAAATTTTCAGTATGAATAATATTATTAACATGTTTGATCCTGTGACAGAAATATATATATATATACATTTTATGCAATAATGGATTTTGACAAAAGAAGTGATACAGACAACAAAATGCCAGTGAATCAATATTTCTTTTCACCCCTGCAGAATTCCTATTTCATCATATTCTAAATAAATTATACGAGTATCAAGTAGCATTTGTTCATTTACCTAATCATACGTTTAGCTCAAATTTGTGGAACACTGATGATAGAAAATTTGGGATGCCAAATAGTTTTCCCGCATCATGTTCGTGTTTTGCTATTGTTTTTTCATATTTTCTGTTTTGATTTGATAATAAATACAATATATTAAGTACAATTAAACTAATTTTTTTATTTTTAGTCCATTCTTGGGGTATTTTAAATCATCCTGCGTGTCATACCTAGGGGTGAGCATGGGTCGGTATGGTTCGGAGATTGATAAATCTCCAGAACCAAACCGAAGTTCGGAGATCACTAAAATTCGATCTCCAGAACCGTACCAAAAAAACGGTTCGGTCCGGTTCGGAGATTTTTATTTTTCGGTTCGGTTCGGTTCGGTTCGATTTTCGGGACTATCGAAACGGTTCGGCTCGGTTTGGTTCTGTTCAGTTATTCGGAGATTTCTTATCATTTTTTCAATTTTTTTGAATGACGACATAGTTATATTTTATTTTTTATATGATTTTTTTTTTCAAATCCAACATTCATTAATACTTCATCATACTAAAAAAATTATTTTTAAATCAATTTTAGAAGTAACCCTAAATTTTAGTTAAGACTAAATTCAACTAACATTGAAAATTTAAATTCAAACAAAATATAATACAGTTTTATATTAAAGTAATATTAATTTAACATTCCATACCATGTTAGTTATAAGATAAACTAAGGGTAAGTATCGACAACTTTAAGTAAAGTTTGAATTATTTTTTATAAATCTTTAACCTTTCATTCCATTTATTTTTTTTTTAAATATGAAAAATTCAATTGTAGATCAAGTATTATTAAACATGAAATGTAAGTGAATCTTAATTGTTATTACTATATTTTATTTGCATTTTAAAAATTCTCAAATTATATAGAATCAAAGTTGACATAAAATATATTAATAACACGCATCTATTTTTATAATTCGGTTCTTAATTTCGGTTTTTCGGTTCGGTACGGTACGGGAAGGTTCGGTTCGGTTCTTGGTACGGATATTTATGAAATCTCCAGAACCGTACCAATTATTTTTTCAGTTCGGTTTGGTTCGGAGAAAGTCAAACGGTCAACGAATATTTTTCGGTTCGGAGTGATTTTGGTTCGGTTTTCGGTACGGTTCGGAATTCTCCGAGTCCCATGCTCAGCCCTAATCATACCCATCATATTATTTGTCGTTGAAATTATACTTTCAATCGTGCGTTTTGGTTGATGTGTCATTCCCATCATATCATTTGTCTTATAAATTGTATTCAATTCATGTCAATTTTTTGTAATATATTTAAACTAACCTCATCCAAAAAGTGGATGAGTGCTCAATTAAACATTAACTATTTAATTATTTATTTTCTCACCTGGTTTATTTTTGTTCACGTTTTCCTCAAATTGATCTTCTAATCTGTACACCGAACCGAAGGGGAGAAAAAGGAAAAGGTCGAGGGTAGATTAGACCGTTCACTCGCCAAGAACTGAAAAGGCTATGGCTACTCTTCACTTCACTCTCCCCTCCACAACCGGCCGGCGGCAGCCACCGGAATTCCGGTCCATCTTCAAACCGGCTCGGTGTGCAGCTGAGAGACAGGCCCTCTTTGACCGAATTGCCCCTGTCTATGATAACGTGAGTTTCTCCGCATTTTTCCCAGCTCTAACTTCGTATAATGTTACCCTTTAGCTCGAGCTCTAGGCTTTTCATATTTATTTTAAGTTTTTTTTTTTTTTGAATAATTTTGTTTTCTGACACAAGATTCAATGTTTTTTTCTTGGGTTATTTTGCAGTTGAATGATTTGTTGAGTTTAGGGGGCCACAGGGTATGGAAGAGGATGGCCGTTTCTTGGACTGGGTATCGTATTTTCAGCATTTGAATTTATTTATTTTTGGGTCAAGTTCTGCTTCTTTTAATGTCTGTTTTGGGCATTTTGAGCTCTTTTCTGTATATGTTGTTGTTTGATGCTTCCATGGTTTCCACTGTGGTTAATGGTTCTTGTTCAGGGGTTTATGCTTTTTTTCTTTTGCTTAACTTTTAAGTACATCTGAGCATTTTGTGATTAAAGATTGAAGCTTTATTTGTTTCTTTTATTCTTTTTTAATTGTTGGATTAAGGGTTTAAGATTTTCTTTGATCTGGGTCAAAATTCTATTATTCCAAAACACTACTAAGGACTTTATTTACACAATGCAAGTATGAGTTATTTTTAGAAACATAAGGCTATTGATCGAATTTGATCAATAGAGCAAAAGAAGGAGACACTGTGTTGGATGTGTGTTGTGGGAGTGGGGATTTGGCCTTTCTGTTATCTGAAAAAGTTGGAGTCAAAGGCAAGGTACTTGATCATTATTTTGC